ACTTCCAGTGTTTCTATCCAGCAGCGCTTGGATCCAGCATGCAGAGCTCACGTGATCAGAACAACATGCAGCGCTAACAAGTTAGCAAGAATGTCGGCAGAACTTTCTATTTTCATCAGAAACAGAGTTGCAGCTAAGTGCAAAGTTGTCACGCACAAGTTTTCCAAGGGRGAACAGAACCGTGTATGTTTTAAACCGGAGCGACAACTACTCTCCACCCTGGTAGCAGCTTTGCGTTTTGGCTCGGTTTGTTCAGCCTCGGTCCAGTGACCGCACACAGCCGCTCTGTTTCAGAACCTCCTCTCTGGTCCGGTCGGTGGTTCTAAGCTGGCAGAAGTGAGGACAGCACGCTTACAGTTTTAACATCCCATGGATTAGCTCTGGGTCGATGGACAGAAGAAAGGAGAGCGCAGCTTTTGTTTTGAAATATAAACGTGACATGACGAGAGCAGTGATAAAAACTGCTCCCTGCAGGAGAGAGAGGCTAATCTCCACATGATGCTCAGAAAATGCAGCAGTAAGAAAGGTAGCTATCAATTTAAATAACTGACTAATTCTTACTATTTATTTTTTGCTCTTGTTATTAGAGTGATGTTTAATCTGTTYACACASTTGTTTGAGTGAAGATTAAGTGCAATGATCACGTTGTTTTAGTTACAGTCAGTAAAATTGGAGCTGAGGACTCTTAACTTTGAACAGACAATAATGTGGGGTTTTGTTTTGTCCCCACCTTCAGTTTTTTCCACCATAAAGCAGCACCAGGCTGACAGGTAGTAAAACAATAACCGAAGTGATTTTGAATTGTTATTTTATACTTTAAAAGAACATTTTGTTTTTATTATGTTTTATTTTTCAGGGTATTATAATTTATTATATTAAATTGTATAATGTTCTTCAGTTTAAAATGTATGTGATCCATTGGTTAAAAATAAATGGGTCAGTTTTTCTCATATCTACTCTTTTTCACTGTTTGACTTGATCAAGACTTTTCTAAGATTTTACATTACAAAATAGGTAAAAGTGTGTGACTGGTACTGTTATGATAACGGGTCAATATCGGTATCGGACAATTCTCAAAGTTGTAATATTGGTATCGTATCGGAAATGAAAAAGTGGTATCGGGACATCCCTAGCTTTTACATTGATGCAACACTAGGGACGGTACTGAAAGCCAGTATTTTTTCAGCACCATTTTCACATGATTCGTTTTGACCGGATAGATAAGCTCCAGGTTTAATGGTATCGTTAACAGTATCAGAATTGTGACAAGACAAGATCGTACGTGACAAATGCTGTGTTGTTTACAAAAAATGACTTCTGTCTTTCTCTCACACTTCTTCTCAATTCATGTTGATGTGATCTGCCTACACAGAAAAAGATGTGACGTCACATTCAGCATGGTGTTTACAGAAGTAGCTAGGCATCGATGCTACTTGTTAGCATGTCAATTCGGAAGTTGTGRTTTAATCAGAGCTGATTAAATAAATATGACATGCTTGTTTAGCTCAGTGTTTATACCTGAACCTGCCTCTGGCCGGCTGCTCCGGTGCAGCATACTATTTTTGGAACAAAGTGACGTGCTAAAACTAAAGTATCGATCAAGTAACTTTAGCATCGATACAATCTGCGACCCCTCGCTCTTACTATCATATTTTTCTTTAGATTCTCAGTAGGGCTGCGCGGTATATACGGTAGACGGTAGAAAAAAAAAGCTCTAAAAATTACATTCTTTACTTTTTAATGATAATTTTCTACCACGATATATACCGTTACCGTGAAGGGATTCAATTTATACCGTGATATGAATTTGAGGTCATACCGCCCAGCCCTAATTCTCAGTCATCCAGGACATGGAAAATCACAAGAACAAAGATGAAGCAACTGGACTTCAGTTCTGTAGCTGAAGACATGGAGCTACAAGATTTTAACAGCATGACTCGAGGTTATAGTGGATCGACCTGCCCACCCCCACCTCAYTGATGTAAGTCAGATAAAATGCGACAAGAGTGTTCAGACTGAGGTCGCTTTGAAAAATAGATATGTATCTGATTCAGTACCACATACTGAAAAGAACTGGGTCTGATTTGAAAAAAATCTGATTTGTCATGTTTAGACGGTCATAAAAAATATGGTAAGAAACCTGACATGCAGTTAATTCAATGCAAATAAAAACTTTATTGTATGTTCTATATTGCACTAAAATAAAAGCATTGCTTATGCATGGTTTGATTTTGGTTTTATTCCCATAGACAAGCATAGACAAAAGGACTGTTAAAACACTGTATCGATAAGCAATATTGATAAGTAGTATTGATAAAATCTTAAAGATAYACATCCCTACGCAACCCCAAGTTCTGTTTGCAGCAGAACTTGGGGTCAACAAGTGAAATTAAATTTTTGACAAACTCAAGAAATCACTAAGTTTTCACAAATCAACATTAGAACAAAAWCTATATAAACATATTTTCTAACTAACAGAAATGCTGCCCATGAGGATAGATGATTTGTCAAAAAAGGCTTTTAATAGGTCAGTTTTGWTTAAATGATGAATAATCACAACAGGGGCTGCTTTCTCTGCTTCTAAGACTTAACCTTGCTTTGACATTGCTAATAGTACTTGCTAAAATATTGATGCTGCTTCCCTGCATTGTGAATGAGAATTTAAATAATAATGCATATATTTATTTCACTTAGACATTCTAAAACCAACTCTGTCTGCGCAGCATTAACAAACATTCTCAATAGTGTTAATGAACAAGAGGAGTTTTATCAATTTTGTCCATTCTTAAAAGATAAATGTTAAATTATTATGAATTTAAAGAGCAGACAAAAATAAATTTTCTATTTAAGCCTGTGCAGAAAATAAATGAACAGAATGTCAACCAGGTCACAACACAAGAAAGATGTTTAAAGTGTCTGGGTTTATTCTATTTTCTGAAGCAATTTTGTGATAAGCAATTTTGATAAGTGTCGTAGTATCGATAAAATCTTAACGATACCCATCCCTATGCAACCCCAAGTTCTGTTTGAGATGATAAACCCCACAAAATGTAGAAGATTAAAGACAATAAATCAACAGTAACGTTTGGCAAATTGCTCACAAGTAACAGCTTGGCTCTCCTTTAATGGCTTATGATGCACCGGACAGAACTCTACTTCAAGCCACAACAATTTAATTTAAAACCACTCAAGTAATTTTAGTTGCATGTTTTATGTTCAGAATATTTTTTCAAATTTTTATTTATTTTTGCTATTTTATTGATGTGAAATTTTAACATTGTGGTAATGTAGCGTACCTGAACAGTCCAATATTTGTCTCGATAGTTTGAACTCTGCTTTATTATGTTAATATTACCTAACCTTGGTTTGTCTCCCTCTTTCTTTGAAGAACACATTCTAGTTGAAGCAGGCATTGAGAGCATAAATTGAGTTGCAAGTGTTAAATGCTCTATTATCATCTTTTCTTTTTACAGCTCCATTATCTGGGGTTACCAAGCTAAAAATGGCTTCTACACCAAATTTGATAAATGCAYACTGCCACCCTTAACACACACACTTTCTCATCCCCATCATCATGTTTTCAAGGACACCTTTCACCAGCTAGTAGTTTTAAAGCGATTCTGACCTCTCCCCTTCGTTTCATTGCAGCCTGTTGTTCTAGTGGTTCCAACTCAAAAGGCCTTTCATTCTAAATGCATAATGATTACAAAGACTTTCCTAAAATTCCTTTCATAGCAGTCCGCCCCTGCTTGTGTTCATGACTGGGTGTCCTGGATTTAAGTAATCAAACAGGCTTCCTCGCCGCCCATCCCCCCATGCCACTTTCAGAGAGGCAGGGGGAAAAAAAGGAGGAAGGCGTGCTGAGCACCAGCTCCCTCCCCCACACGCTGYTCCAACAGGCATTGCTGAGGCTTGTGGGATTAAGAATGGAACACGATGACAGACAAAAACAGTCCTCAGCACCTCCCTGCTCTGCTGTCTTTTATACCACAAGAGCATGAAAAGGCTGCTATGAAGCACACAAAAGACACAGTGATAGATCAACTCTGAGCGAACAAGATAAGTGTGGGTGAAAAGCTACACAGATCTTTATATTATTCTTGTATGACAATGTCAGCATTGAAACTGTTTAAATAATAAACAGTGGAACACGACCTGACATTTGCTTCATGCTCTGTACAATATATGGCTGACAATATTCACATCTTACACATCTGCAAGTAATGCTTTTACTGGGTAATGTGAATAACGTAAGAAATTTATAGATAATAACCAGATAATTATTTGCACTAGTTATTAACAAAGAATTGTCCATTTGAATAAAGCCTGTATTGTTGAGGRGGAAAATGACCCTCACCACTGTGTAAGCCATTTCATGTAGCCAATCTTCACATTACACGTGTCAAGAGGTGCCCTTATTCATTGCACGGTCATAAAAGCAAAAACAGCAGTAGGTCTTTTTTTAATGCATCACATGTCRGAGTGCTTTAGGGAATGGAGTGTACCTCTATGTCTGCTGAAAGCCACAGGCTTGTCATAAGTGCAGTGTCAAGAAGCCTTAAGGAGTGGGTCCAATTGTATTAAATTAAAATCAATAGAAGCCAGTTCTGTTTAAAGATTCATATCACAAGCTTCTTCAAAAAAAAATCTTTACTAATGGAATGAGYGTTTTTGCTGTTTGCACATTTAAAACACTTGTTCAAAACAGAATTCAAAGCACAAAACAATGTGTAAATGTAAGAAGATTGTTTTAAGACACTAATCCAAGCAATCTGTTTCTTTCATTGCTGAATGTGTTTATAGACGCCATTCATTTTGATCAAATGTCTTTTAGCAGTCCCCCATAAAACCAGGAAATTATTTTTTTGACCCAGAGAAATACAATCACAAATCTTTGCATGTAATACATGAATACAAGAGTATATCTGTACAAAAACTCCAAACAAATCTAGGCAACACACAAAGCATTGAAATGAAAAAATAAAAAATAATAACCTTACCTTCTCATTTTTTATCTTTTTTAATGTCTTGCATTCACCATTACCATTTTCCACTTCATCTGGTTCAGTTTTTGTGGTCAACGTTGGTACTATCCCAACAGATTCAAGTGCAATATTCCCCATTTGATTAACATCTGCCAAGTCTGTTGATTGTGTGTTCTCAAAGGATGCATTACGACTATTCCCCAAAGAAACTTGAGCTTGAGACACATCCTTCTCAGAGACACCAATTGCCACAACTGGAGCACCATCTGTTTTATCTTTCTTACTTTTCCCACTAGCACCTTCCTTCTCCTTTTTACCACCGAGAACACCTCTGGAGGCTTTGCCCCCTTTTTCCAAGTTCTTCCCAGAGGTGGAATTGTTGCCGGCAGCCACAGCGCTCGCTGCCGCACCTGTTGGCTCCCCTTGAGTCCGACCTGTGGGTTCTTTTTTACCCCCATCTCCAGCTGAAGCTGAAGCTTTGCTACTATTGTCTTTAGAGTTCTTGCTGCGCTTGTATTTGGATTTGCTCTCTTTGCCTTGAGAGCCAGACACTGGACTAACAAAYCTTATATTGTCTGGCAATGCTGCCACTGCACTGGGTGGTGCCGCCATGCCGTCCTTGGTGCCAGACATCTCAAGTTTGTCCTTCTCTAAATCAGCGTCGAGGTCAATGATCAGATTTCCAACACCGATATCCCACTCATCCCCGCTGTCGCAAGATTCCACCGCATTAGAGTCCACACCTTTCCCGCCTGCAGTGCCACCACTTAGGGACATTTTAGTGCCAACGGCCCAGGAATGCCTCAGTGAGGTCTGACACCCTCTCAGACGGTTGGGAGTCAGAGGCAAGGGATAGAGAATCTTCACGGTCTACTCGTCTTTGTCCCATTTAACCACATTTTGCCCTAGAAAAAAAAAAGAGAAGAGAGACATTTTAATCCAATAATTCTGACACCGAATAACATCAATATATTTCTGCCATCACAGAACAGTTTCATTGTAAAACAAACATTTGATTGTGAGCCAGTGATTCTCTGATGATTGCTGTGCAAACCWCTATGGTAATACCCACTGGTGTGACAGCTCTGCTCTGAAACCCACTCTTCATAATCACTTCCCACCATTGCCATGGCAACCATGGGAAATGTAGCCTAAATCCTGCTTTGACAACCATGGTGGCCCCACTGTTCCGAATGACTGGCTCTCTTTCCACAAGGAACCACTGATAGTATCACTGCTGATAAATAAGAAGTAGCCAGTCTAACACCCCCTCTTTGCRTGGTTTATGGAGCTGTGCCTTTTCAACTCAAGAGCACAACAGTAATCCTGCATTGACAGATGGTTTAAAAGCATGAATAAACTGATATATTTATCAGGGACGGAGAATAAATACTTGGTTTTATATTGTAATACATGTCTTACACAGTATAAAACGTAATCACGATTTATACGTGTCGRTATATCAACAAAACACACTCGAGACCTGTGCATTCTCCGTGATTTAAAAAAAGTTGTACCCTATATGTTCATGTTCTTTTGTGCAAATATGACACAATAAAATCTTGATAGTTGCCTGTGTCACAAATTGTAAAACTTATCGGATGATGGAAACAACCAGAGATATCAGTTCAACAAAGAGTAGATGGCAAACTCTGGTGCTAACATGCTTATGATTAAACTCAAACTTAAAAGAAATGTGGGGGTGGGTGGAGAAATAAGGACAAAGGAACAGCCAAGGGTTGGGCAATATTGGCAAAAAAAAAATCAAGATTAATTGTGTTATTTAGCCGATAACGATTCATTTGACGATTAATCCCCTGGAGTCCTGGGACATCCTTATGTCCAAGCCGCATGACCAATTTAGTGGGAAAGACTTGCTCTTCGTAAAAATTTGCTCCAAATTGTGTCAAAATCACAGACTTCAGCCTATACATCAAATTTTAAATTGTGTTGATAGATAAATAAATTACAGAACCTTTTTTTATGATTGTCACATTCGAAGTGGAGAGGAGCACCAAGCGAACTGACTGGAGAAATCTTCAGTCAGTCTGCCTGCTGGCATTAATCGTATTAATCATCAAGTGCCAAAAAATAATCGATTAGTGGTTTTCTGGCGATTAATTGCACACGATACGATTATGCCCAACTTTGGCCATGACTAATAAAAGAACATCTTCTACAGCAGTGTTCACAACAAAAAAATCTTTTTTCCAAAGATTTCTGACACTGTCGTTGGTCATCTTTGGTCACAAGTGTTCCATCATCTCCCGTTGAATTAAGCTAACAACCAAAAATTTTGTCCAGAGCATCCAAAAAAATGCAGATGCCAACTACAATCAAATGAGTGTGCTAAAAATCTTACATTTATAAAACCACTYATTCAAACAATTTCATTTTATTTTTTTCATCATTACCAAAGTGTTATATTTTCTAGTAGAAAGAAATTACAAAGAATACATGAGCATAACTYTGACCTTTTAATCAGTAACATTATACAGACATTTCAATTCTTAAATGTAGAACTTGCGGTGTTTTCTGACCAGTGAATAAATTTAATGCCACAGAARCTGTAAAAACTAAGTGTCACAAACTTGACAGCGGTGGGCAAGATAATATACTGGTGCCATAAAAAGTGTCGTTTTTTGGAGCACCTTAAAGTACATTCACCTGAGAGTTCACTACATGTCGGCAAATGATGCACTCCAACATTTATGGTTTTCATCTCCTCTTGTAATAAAGAAGCTGAAGTATAAGTAGGCTCAGCACAAAAAAATCTGCAGTAATGGAAAGAGTAATAAAATCAATATAGTGACAGGCATTAAATTTCTTTGTGCTACTGACTTTAAATACAAAACACAGCAATGCTGTAGTCCTTCAAAAGATCMTTTACAAAAGATTTAATACTGTTATAGGCGAATAGTCAAAATAGTGTTGGTTTTTGCGTGCATTTTGCAATCTGAGTAAAGAACCATATTTAAATGGATACATACAGTGGGGAAAATAAGTATTTAGTCAGCACCAATTGTGCAAGTTCTCCCACTTAAAAAGAGGAGAGAGGCCTGTAA